CCACTCCACCCGTCTCCTGGCCGCCACCACCCTGAGGAACGTCCTCGGCACACGCAACCTGGCTGAGATCCTGAGCGAGAGGGAGTCCATCTCCGCCACAATGCAGAGCTCACTGGACGACGCCACAGACCCCTGGGGCGTCAAGGTGGAGAGAGTGGAAATGTAAGTGGGTCGGGCGAGCGCGGGGAAGGTGTAGGTAGGTCGTGCACCCGGTGGGTTTTGTAAGTGAGGTGTAGAGCCACGTAGGGCGCGTGGGTCCCGCATGCAGCAGGTGGAGTAAGTGGATCACAGAGCAGATGGATTTTGTAAACAAGGGCGGCAGTCAGGTGTGCGTAGGTGAGTCTCACAAGTACAGTACATTATGAGGTAATATTGCAGGATTTTGTAAGCAAGTTTTGCAGCTGATGGATTTAGTAAGTAGTTCATCCCGACGCCTGAAGCATATACGTGAGTCATACACCCGGTAGATTAGACAAGAAAGTCATACTAGCAAGTAAAGTAAGTGAGCCATACAGCAGCTGGACTTCGTAAGTAGGTGTAAGTGGACCACGACATCTGTCCGACTAGTTCTTAAGGGTGGAAGCAAAAACGGAGGCTTTTCTTGACCTACTCCCACCTCCACGACGACGAGGAGAAAGACAACAACACTTTACAAGCTCGAGGTTCAGACACAAAGCTAGTTACAAGGAGAAGGGTGAATTCTCAGCAAAAGTATAATAAATCTAAAAAATATGTACGCTTTTGAAAAGAAATACATGAATGAATTATTAGAGTTAACTAGAATAGTGTTAACAGATCTTAACAGATAACGACTAGCATAAACTGTTCATGAACATTTATCATTTTGGATAAAGATTGCTAAATACTCTTTGTCAGCCAAATATTTTTCTTGATTATTTTGTACAGAATAATACGAGGGAGAACTTGATCATAATTCCCTCTGAAGTTATCTAATTACAAGCAAGTTTCCTGTTGCAGATTACTCAGTCATTTTTTGTTGTTAAAAATTTAAACTTAATGGCATCTTGGAATATTCTTAAAAGTATTAATTGATATTACTTGGGTTCAGATTTCATCAAGTAATATTCAGAGGCTTGTCCCAAGTATCTTAGATAGTAATATTGCTGTATTTGATACATGGTTGTATGAAATAATCATTTATATACATATATTTCATCTTGAATTTCATACTTAAATTAGCAAAATCCTTTTCCTTAAATTCCTTGTGTCTGCACTACTCATGCTCCCAATCCTCACACCGCCTCTCTTTCCCTTTCCATTGCCCCCACATCTCCCTCCGCCTCCTTGCCCTGCTTCCACATGCCCCCAGGCACCCCCCCCCCCCGGCGAGCGTTTCCGCCCCTCCCCCGTAACCCCGAGTCATGTCTCCTCCGCCTTGCAGCAAGGACGTCCGCCTCCCGGTGCAGCTGCAGCGCGCCATGGCAGCTGAGGCCGAGGCCGCCCGAGAAGCCCGCGCCAAGGTGATCGCCGCCGAGGGAGAGCAGCGCGCCTCCAGGGCCCTCAAGGAGGCCGCCGAGGTCATCAACGAGTCGCCGGCCGCCCTCCAGGTACACCCTCGTCCCTCACTTCCCTCCCCCACACCCCAGACCTCCCCCAGACCCGGGTCAGCTCCCCCAGTGTAGCGCCACGAGTCCTGTGTCCGTGTGTCCCCGGGCGCCTGTGCTCTCACACTGGCGGTGGCACCTGACGCGGAACACTCACACGATAGGCACCACCGCTTCCCCTAGGATTTGCCGCCATTTTACTAGCTGTAAACAAGTCTGTATATATAAATATAGGAGAGATAGATATATTTTTTTAGGGAATGAATAAATATATCTTTCTTCAAAGTTTTTTTTTTTCTAGAGGCATGAATGTTTAGTTATTTTTTATATTTGAATATATACAACTTGTTAGCCTTGGTCAAAGTTACTACTGTGATAATGTAGCGCCCCTGGTGGTACCATGCCTTTTGCTACCTGACTTCTTGCCATCACCAACCGAGGCAAACCAATAGATCACATGACAGCACAAACACACCGCTGAAGTGCTCCCCCCACCCCCCCTCCTCTCCCAAAAGAAAAACTCACAGGTGCCATCCAGGTGTGAGCGGCCGAGCACCTGCCTGTCCGCGTCCTTCACAAGTGTCGTCCCTTGAATCTTGAGATGTCAGTGACTGAACTGTTCTAGCTTCTCATGCTTTTTTGTCTTATGATGCCCGAATGCGTGTCTTTAGTCTGTACTTTCATCTGTATGCACACATGAGCGTCCTTTCTTTCCTTTTTTTCTTTTTTCCTTTTTTTTCTTGGAATTGTGAGGGTTTTACAGGTACACACAACTTCGCCTTTGACGTTCCTGGACGCCCAAAGGCGATGAGTGAGAGTCCGAGGGGGCCAAGGGAGAAGAACCAGTGCGTCGTCCAGGGACCTTCGCCCTCTCTGCCTCCTCCCGGGGGAACGCTGCGCCTGCACACCCTGCCTCATGTCCTAGATAGAGGGCG